TCCCCCAGGGTCACCCAGGGGTCCCCCAGGGGTCCCTCAGGGTCACTCAGGGGTCACCCAGGGGTCACTCAGGGTCACTCAGGGTCACTCAGGGGTCACTCAGGGGTCACTCAGGGGTCACCCAGAGGTCACAGGGACATGGTGACACAGGGGTCACTGGCACAGGTGACACAAGGACAAGGGACCCTCCCCCCCCACCCTGTGCCCCCCCAGTCCCCAATGTCCCCCCAATGTCCCCGGTGATGTCCCCAATGTCCCCGGTGATGTCCCCAATGTCCCCCCAGTGTCCCCAATGTCCCCAATGTCCCCCCAATGTCCCCAGTGATGTCCCCAGTGATGTCCCCAGTGATGTCCCCAGTGATGTCCCCAATGTCCCCGTTGTCACCTCTCCATCTCCTCAGGGTTGGACACCGGCTCCTCGTAGATCTTGAGGCAGTTGAGCAGCGTCCCTGGGGACATTGGGGACATTTGGGGACATTGGGGACATTGGGGGACATTGGGGACATTGGGGACATTGGGGGGACATTGGGGACATTGGGGACATTGGGGACATTGGGGGGACATTGGGGACATTGGGGACATTGGGGGGACATTGGGGACATTGGGGGACATTGGGGACATTGGGGACATTGGGGACATTGGGGGACATTGGGTACATTGGGGACATTGGGGACATTTGGGGACATGAATGGGACCCCGGACATGGGGAGGGGACAGGAGGTGACAGCGGGGTCCTCGGTCCTCGGTGACAATGGGGTCCCTGGGAGGTGACAGTGGGGAGGTGACAGTGGGGAGGTGACAGTGGTGACCCCGGGGAGGTGACAGCCGTGTCCCCACCGATGGCCCAGGGCTGGTCCTGTCCGGGCCGGCGCCGCGCGGGGTCCCAGAACTCCTGGAACAGGGGGTGCTGCTGGTTCTGGGCGTCACCTGCGGGGACACGGCGCTGCTGTCACCCCCCGGGTCACCCCCTGTGTCACCCCCAGTGTCACCCCCCGGGTCACCCTCCGGGTCACCCCAGTGTCCCTCCAGTGTCCCCCTGTGTCACCCCCTGGGTCACCCCAATGTCCCC